AATGGGTAAAATTACGTATATAACAGTTTTAAAGATTTTGACAATTATATTACCTAGGAAAAACTTACGATTAGCACAAGGGGCAGCTTAATAGGGATTGTAGGCAGTAGATTATGATTCACGGTTAGTTTTAGAAAGTACAGCTTTATTAAAACGTCATAATAACTTTGAGTTCCTAAATCAGTTCTTAGGATTCATAGTGAAGAATTTTCACCAAGAAACGATGGGGGTTCTATTGATATCTAGCCTTAATGCTTAAAGGATTGTTATTGCAAATTGCCTCCAACGGAGATCACTTTGATTAAGCCTACTGTATTTTAGTGTTTTTTTAAGAAACTAAATACATATCATTGGGACCGGTAAATAAACAAACGAAAAATAACTATCTTTTTGATGTACGAAAGTCATTCTGTTATACACGCCTAACATAGCTTGTGCAATATCGTAGACAAATTTTCTCTTTTTTTTTAATAATTGGGCGGTCAATATTTTTTTCACTGCTCGATGAGTTATTATATTAAAATTTCAGAAGCTATTCGAGCCACAAGTTTCACCAAAAGATAGTGTTCACTCTAATTTTTTACTTAATTAAAATGAAGTTTATTCTGTTTCATCATTAAAGAAAGCAATGTTGTAATCTGTTTTTTTTTTCTATTGATATTTTTTTCAGAGGTTACAATTTCAGTAAAAAAAAACTTCTTGAAATTGCGTCTCTACTTATTAAGTAAATATCAAAAGATCATGAATATCAAATATGGAAAAGGAGTGGAAATGGTTTGCAATACAGAAAACTTAAAACGAAAAATACTTCTTAAATGTCTTTATTTCGACGAAAACATTAATTGAAATAAAGGAACATCAAAGGAAGGTATGGTTAGATGGTAATATAATAAACGTCAAAAATATTTTTTTATTGGGTTAACGGTTTATCTCATAATATTCCTATGATATCAATAATATCCCTTTTAGGATAAGCCTAACATGTTAGGCTTCTTGTGTCATACAGACATTTCATACTTATATCGTGTTTATAAGTTTTATCAAAACATATTTTTTTTATTTATCAAAATATATCATTACTTTTTATTGTTTCTAGGTATCTCAATAAATAAAATAAGAACAGAATTGATTTAGTAAGTGTTTATTGAATTACAATACAATTCTATTAAGATCCAGTGAAGATTTCACAGTAACGATAACAATAAATAAAATTTACAATAATAACAGCGTAGATGTAAAATACATGCGAAACTATATTACTTATATTAATGATAAAAATATAAAGATTTATTTTACAAATAAGAGAAGCTTATGAAAGTTCGTGTTGAGACAGGCTTGTATCGTTATATTCTATTAATTAAAGTGATTAAAAGACTTTTAAAAAGTTGACTTAATGAATTATTTTCGATTTTAACTGTATTTAAAAGTTGCGTCAGAAAAATAATTCATATTATTCAATAATAAAGCGATTTTTACGGTTCTGGAAGCATATTAATTATGAAATATAAATTGGCTTATTTCATAGTACTGTTGTAAAAATCTGTGTACCATTAAGATAAAAATATTCAAATATGCGAATTAAAAAATAAATTGATTTGTAACAAAAATATATTATTTGCAATATATTACAACTAATATTTTTTAGATACTTACAAAGTAGATGTTGAAACGGGATCTGAACTCTTTGTATGTAGAAATGACTCGACTTTGAATAGAAATAACTACCTAGGAAATAACAAGCTTTAAAACTATAACTAGACTAATACAAACAATAGTTAAAAATTATTCTATAATAATTATCTAATATGAGAACATCGACGCTTTGGCACTTAGGTCTTTCTCACTTAATTATCCCATACAAACGATAATAATGCGTATGATTGAAAAGATACATACAACAATAGTTATAAATAATAATAATAGTAATGTACATATAGCATACATTTTCCTATATTTAATATAATTTAAATGAAAAAAAAATATTTTTGTAAGTAAATTTGGTAACCACCAAACAAAATAATATACAAGAGCTTGCATTTATTTTAACTTTATAGGCATCAAATAGCTAGCGTTACAGACTTAAACGTAACTGTGTCATAAAAAATCTCAAGTGAATAGAGTAATTGTCAAAATATTCTGCATTTCTGTGCAATTATATAAATTGAATGAAAGCGTCTTGTATTCCAAGTTGCCAGAGTGATTAATGATAAAAATCCTTCTATATTATATGCGTTAAAAAGTAATTTTAAGTCATATATAGTATGTATAAATGATTATATTAAGTTATGAATCATAATATACAATTTTCTTGTGTAAACTGTAATGTAAATTGGTGTTTTGTTAGAAAATTTCAAACGCTTTATACATCTAAATGATTTCTTAATATTACATTAAAACTGTGCCTACGGAAGAGTAGTGATTACTTACAATTTTTTTTACTTCAAAAGATACTTTTCTATTTTATTGCTATAAATTTAAAATCGCATTGAAATAACTATCAGAACGCGACTAGAACATTAAAGCACAAATAAGTTATACTAAATTCAAATCTAATTAATTTTTTTATTACATAATAAAATATTTTAATACTATTGGTCTTCACTAATTTAACATTATATAAATAGTCAATGAAGTTACTAATAACATGCAATATTCGAAATACGAGAATGAGCAACTTTCAATGATCAAATTTTTATCTTAATATATATGTACAAGTTTTAACATTTCAAATGTTGAGTACATGAAATATCAAATGATACAAAACACGATACGAAGGACTCAAAATTGTAATGTTCAATGAAACTATCTACTGAATCTAAAAAGATAAGCGTAATTTATTCTACCATTATCAAAGAGACAAATGTATTAAATTTAAAGTTAATCACAACTTTATTCGTCGGTCAATAACTCGACTATATTGTTTCTAAACGTTAAATATTCCACATTCTGTGTTTTAACGGTCAATATCGGAAGGCGTTTTTAAATCTACATTACGTCTACTTAAAAATCTACAGTTATTTGTCATTTAGAAATTACACTTTACCACCGAATGCGTTCATTACTTTTCAATGTTCATGCGATCAAAAATTATACAAGATATATGACTCAAGCGTATGCATTTGACCGATCCAATCACCGTTACTACAAAACTAAGAAGTTAGCTATTTATACACCGTAAGTAAGTTTTAATATACTACGATCAGTGTCACTCAGTCATTTTTTATTATTTCTGACTTACATAACTTGTACACATGAATTATAGCAAAGTATAACTCTAATCTGTTCATTTTCGTCCCATCCTACATATAATTCTGTCTTATAAGTTAATTCAAAAATTCATCAAGGTTCATTCTGTCAACTATGTGATAGTGGTGATTTATAATATGAAGAACCATATATTTGAGTATCTTCCTTTAATATAAAACGTACACTAAATTGGTAAGATTAGTATAATGAGAACCGGATATAGTAAAGGAAGTTATAGAGTTTTGTATCATAGATATCCGTGGTCGTTCTTCAATTGTAAGAATACGGTGATCAAATCTGTCAAATAATATTTACAAACTATTTGATTTTTTACAATATCAATTAATTAAATAAATAATATTTACGTTATCTTTGTTCCTTTTCAAGACCCTCGAAATAATTTTAAGATAATGAGGATCACAAGTTTACCTTATCATTACTTGAGAGATGTCTAGTTTAATCTATCACTGAATGCCTTGGTTTTGCTATCTTATTCCAGCTTACAATTTCGTTTTAAAAAAGCCTGTCAGGACAATTTTTTATCCAGTTAAAATACGAAGGGTCTAATTTAAATGATCTACCATAATCTACTTATAGTCTAGGATCACATAACTCATTGACTATAGAACTACGATCAATTCCTTAAATTAGAAATTTAAAAAAGGAAAAAATAGATAAGACAGACTGAAACAAGTCATAGATTTTACTTAGTGGATTTAAAGTTTATACTTGAATTGACATTTTAAAACGTTCAAATTTAAAAGGGACTGTTTATAAAAGATATTAAAAGAATTTTAAAAAGTCAAATCGATTATCTTTCACCCAAATCATCTTATGTTTACTATCACTATATTGTTCTCGAAATTTTCTACAATACTAGAGACGAGGAGTTCTCGGTGAAACACTCCGTATTACAATTATAAAACACAAACCTGTTAAATGAATTGTGCGTGTTTCAAACATACAGCGGTTGAATGACAGCGATTGAAATCAAAATTATATATTACACTTGCCTTATCACAACTACATCACAATATTTCTATAGACTTTTCAAATTAAAAGTGTCGAATGCATCCTATAAAATAAAATAAAATGTCAGAAACAATGTACATATAACAAATGCAACAAATAGATTTTTTTCAACAAGCATTTTTGTATAAAACTCATTTTGATGATTCTATTTATTTATTCACAACTGAGCATAAACGCGCAAGAAATATGAATGGGCAGTTCTATAAACAGGGAACAATATTTCACATTTTAACAATTATCACAACATTTACAATGTATTTTCCCATCGTTCTCTTAGATCTTAAAAGTAAAATTTCATCATGTCCCAAATTTATTGATCTTAATACTATTTCGATGAAATACAAAGCACATTGGACCATTCAAACGCGGACATACAGACTTTATAGCTATTTATCACATTCTTGATGTGTTTATGAGTATCCACTTGGCAGTTAATACTAATAGGGATATGGAATAAATTGTACTACAAATTTTAAACTTGCTTGTGTTTTCTATATTGTAATTACCTGAAAGAGAAACACTCAAAAATAAAATTGAAAGTTTCATTCTGTAAATTTTTAGTAATTATTCTACAACAATTTAACAAAACAAATAAATCTAATGGATCCTAAATATAGCATAAAGTTATATTTTCTTTGATTTAGAATATTGAAAGAATTATTTCTTTAGATATATAAATGTCATACTAACCAAGAGTACAGCTCCTCATCCCTCCACGAATCTCAGTCAAGGTTTCCACCGTTCCGAAGTCCCGCTTTCGTCTCCGGTGGTACTTGCTTTTTAAAACAATCATCAAGGAACGAAGACATCGTTCGATACAAATGATGCTTTACACCCTCCAAACTGTGTCCTTCGTCTGGATATATCTGGATATAAGTGAAAATAAATTTTATATTCTCTATTCGTGTATTATTCTATCACAAACAAAAAACGCACCATAGTCAATACTTTATAGCGAATAGTTAAGTAATTAGTAGTCATTAAGTAATTCACACCTTATTTCTATAAGGAGTCATTACAAGCAGTTGAATACTACCAATAATTCAAAGATAAAAGTTAAAGAAAGTATAAAATTATTTTTTTTCTATTAACCTGTTGCCTAAACGTACTCCCATGATCCGACAGAGCCCTGGCCAGTGACATGGTCTGCTGAATATGTACATCATCATCAGCAGTTCCGTGAACCACCAGGATCATCTTATCTTGTAATGCTGAGGCTTGCTTCGTGACGTCAGCATCCGCGTAGCCTCGGTAATTACCGGTCGCGTTTGGCAGACCCATGTACCGCTCTGCGTAGGCTGAGGCTGTTTTTATAATAAAAATGTCGTTAAGATTACAAATAGTATTTTAATTTCACAATATCTTATACATTTTTCTTCGGTACATATTATGGTACTTTAATTGTTAATTTTAAGCGGTGAATTTAGTCTTTGATATTTGCTAAAAATTGTAGCATAAAAATTTTAAGTCAATTTTGAATATTTCTATACGTAATACCCAATTATTTACTGACCGTAATATCTCCAGCGCACAATCGGTGTAATAGTGATTCCGCAATGGAACACTCTCAAGGGGGAGGCAAGCGCCAACGCTGCCAGAAACCCTCCATGAGCACGTCCCCACACGGCCACTCGACGTGCATCTATGAAGTGGAGTGAATCCCGTAGATATCTGGGTAAATTTATTATTATCACGTTACTGTTCAATAAAATTGAATCCAAAGAAAATTGAAATGCAGGTCCTCGTTTTGTTTTTGTTATATATAACTATTCTATAGAAAGATTTGACTAAATGAATACTCCCTATAGTTTTAGATCTCATTTATATTTGACAAAACTTCAATTCTACTTACTCAGCAACCTCCAGTTGATCTTTCAGTTCAACAGTCCCAAGTCTCTTATGTAAAGTATGATGAGCAGCCAATCCTCTTCCTCCAGCTCCTCTTGCATCCACGGATGCTAGTATAGCTCCCGCTCCAGCTGCCAGAGAACCCCAGTCTAACGACCACTGCTCTGTAACCAGCTGGGTTCCCGGAGCCCCGTGTCTATAGAGAAAAATGTTTTTCGTATTTTCGAATCATCTTTATAAAGTCTTTCGTATAAGGCACTACTTACACTTTCATGACTAAAGGGTATTTAGTAACTTCATCTTCTCTTAGTCCTGGAGGAAGTAAAAGTCTCACTCTTGCCGCGTGTCCACTTGACAGTTGTACTGAAAATGTCCGCGGCGTGGGTAGAGCTATCGCTGCTAACTTTTCCTAAATAAAATAAGAAAATTCTTGTAAGAATTCATAGTAAGAAAACCAAATTAAGTAAACAAGTTATGTTCCACTTCCATTATTATAAAAAAAAATGTTTAAAAATATTTCTCCCTGAAAAATGTGACGATGCACTTAAAATAACGACAACTTTACTATGACGGCATCGTCAGAAATTAATGGTCCGAAAAATGCTCGAAACGTCTACACAGTAATAACGGAACATGAAATTCAGTAAACCAGATAATTAAATGAGTCAGTGAGTAAGTTAAATGATAGAAATTGAAGGACTTGGAAAATTACTAAAAATAAACAACATTTTTTGACTTTATGTCGTATTTGAATCGTTTTCCAATTGGAGTACACCTTTCGATTGTTCAGAAACAAATACTTTAGTTACTTAAGTATTTCAAATCAGAAAGTCTCATATATTATTCATAATAAAATACCACAAAATATTTTTGATCGATATTATAGATACAAAAATCGTAAAAATAAGATACACAGATTCAAACAATACACACAGATTCAAACGTATTATCAAAATAAAACTAATAACAAAAATTTTTGAACTATTTCGACAAAGTTGTGATAAAGATACTAAAAAAATGTAAATAAAACAAAACAAATTTTGGAATAAATAGATATTAAACGTTAAAAAAAATAACAATTCCATCGACGCTAATGCTGCAAATATTTAACATTTTTTGACAATAGAAATTTGAATGAGTCATGATTTTATTACAACTTACCTTAACAGCTGTATTGTTTTCTAGATGCATCAAAAGTCTTGGCTCAGGTAAAGCTATCTTGTGTAAGCTCGACGTGGGAACTCCTGGTCCCAGGCACTCCAGTACGAAGTATGTAGATGATGGACTAAAATGAGCATCGTGATAAAGGCACGGCTGGTTTTGTTGGACTTGTTCTGTGGAAAAATGTGCAATGAAATGATAAATTGAAATTTTATCTTACTCTCGTTATCAAATTAAGTAAATCAAGCCAATAATTTTTATATAAATAAATTAATATTTGTATAAACTTTTGTTTTGTTAGTTCTAGAATATTACGATTTTATATTCTGACCCAAAATGCATTCTTATGGTAGTCACCGTTATAAGTATTTGTAAATTTTGTATGATACTATTTATATGAAATCATAAATAAGAAAATATTTAAGAATTTTAATTTTAAATTAATATAATTAAATGCGTGAAGTATGTACGGTCTATTAAACTGTGCAAAGTTGTAAAAGTTTAAAAGCCTACTATCTTAACAGTTAATCTCACGCAATTACAGTATAACAGTTTTTTATGATTTATTTACTCTGAACACTTAATTTACGAGTGCAGTTCCCTACGTGAACGTTTATTCATCAAGATTAAAAGTAGCCCGACTTTAAATCCCAAACTAAGGTAACACACTGTTAAACTCATGTGAAGTTAGCGGTTTGCTCCATTTCAGTTTTATACTAAAAGACTAATTTAAAGTTTACGCCATAAACATTGTATCAATTTATAAGCTCTTTCGCAAACTATATTTTAAATGGGCTTACTGTCAAACATCACTATATTTTTTGTTATTATCATTTTGGTTAATAAATTCATTACTTTTTTATTGTTAACTTAACATAGAGGTATTTACTGATAGCTATTATTACATATTTCCAATAATCTATTTGTGATTAATTGCTTTAACATGAAAAAGCAAAATATCTACATAATTTTGCTGGCTCACAGAGAGACTTTCAATGTCGTTGTCGTTATACAACGGCGAAAAGGATCAATTTTAGAAACATATTTTAACCAAAAATTTATTAATACTTGTAATAAAGCAAGTTACTAAATAAAAAACGTTATTTAATGTAGGTATATTTTTTACCTGGTTGTTTCTTTTTTTTCTTCTTTGGAGGTGATGGTGATGTGGGAATCTCTTCCCAATCACTGTCCCAGGAGCTGTCTCCAGAAGAAGCCAGATTACCATAGAACTCCAGGTTTATCGAGGGTGATGGCTGCGAGTTACAAGTGACGCAATAAGGGAGCTTCTGGGGGGTGCCAGGCCGGGGCGCTTCAGATGACACTCTATATAAGTGCTGCTGTCCTGGTTTTCCCTCTGGTATACCCAAATAATAACTAAACAGAAAAGATTTTTGATTCTAAGAAAACTGTGACAAATCACCAAGTATAATAAAAGCTAAATGCCAAATTTATTTTTGGAAATTATATTTGAGTCGTATAAATAAAGCGGATATTAAAAAGTATGTATCGGTTATATCTTACATATGTTGGTTTGCGTGATCCCACGCTAGCAACTTTACTACATCGAAGCTTCCGTGTGTGAGGGGCAACGCTCTGGGTCCATGAGAATTATGTTCAGCACGTATTATATGACGGAATAGACCCGCGGGACCGTCTCTTACAGGGGCTAGTGTGACCAACGCGGCGCCTCCCGCTGACCATAATGGCGCTGGGGCAGCTTCTACCCACGCTTCCTTGCCAGAGAATATTCTATAAACCTAAATAAATAAAATACCATATCACTAGTGAAAAAAGCATTTTTACGAAATAACTCAATACTCAATGATATATAAAAAAATGTGTATTTAATACTTAAATAAAATAAATAAAATAAAATAATAAATAAATTAAATAATTAATAATTAATAAATAAAATAAATAATATAATATTTAATACTTAAATAAAATAAATAAACAAAGAAATTAAATTACTAAGAAAAACCCTGTCATAAATTTGCTATATAACTATATAGTAACATATCCTACCTCTTGGCAGTACCACATAGGGCTTTTACACACGGACACAACAGTTAGATTTTGTACCCGTGTGAGCCACACAACGCATACTTCTGTTAGAGATACCCATTGAGCACTTGTGAAGTAATAATCCCTAAAAAGATGAAATATTGTTAGAAATCATAAAGCTACTACATGTGTATAGAGAAACTATTAAAAAGTAATGTTAGTTACACTATTTATAACTCAAGAATAACTGTACCGATGTGGCTGTAAATTGGTTGTTTAGAAACAGAAAATTTCGATTAAAAAAAATATTTAATAATATCTAAAATCAAATAATATTACAACCACTACAGCGGAACAGAAGTCATCTAGTCAGGTCTACATATCTAATTCTGAAATTGACGCAGACGAAGTCAAATGTGACATTTAGTTATAAAAAGGATCCATTCAAACAACAATACGGAAATATGAATATTTCCACTTTTAATTTAATAACATATTCTTGTATACCTAACACTTGTTAGAAATTTTAGTCTTGTAAATATAATAAAAATAAGTTATTGACCGTTATAAATTTTATGTTTAAATTTCTTTACACAGAACAGAATGAGTAACAATATTAGAGTTTAGAACTGCCCTTGTAATGTACAAGGTTTCTGTCGACTTCGTTAGAGCTACGGTGAACTATTTTTAATTTGCTTAGTTATTCTTTATATTTATTTGTTGCTCAATTCGAGCACTTAAATGATTTAATGAAATATTTTTACCCGTCAGTAGAAAAATATATCTTTTATCATTATAGTACTAGTGAAATTGAAAAAACTCTATGAGTCATAAAATATGTACATATCATCGACCCAATATTTATTATATTTTTATTTAAATAAATAATATGCTCAGACGTCGGTCTCATTGGATTCTACAGATAAAATTTTTCCTACACGTTATTCCAACATATAACTTTATGCCATCGTAATTCTACCAAGGACGATTTTCAATAGTGGTACAAACACAGAATCACTATCAGAAAATAATTTAGTACAATTCGAGTATTACACAAGCAGAAAATCACATCATAACTCGTCATAAGCAAGACAAATTACAATTATTTATTGAATCTATATGAACAAAGTAAAAATCATGATACCTAACAACTTATTAAATTTTTACTTTCTAAATTAAGTTAGAAACAATATGTATGGAATTTATTTCAATACTCACCCTTCTTCTAATATCACCTTCGGTGGTGTAAGGTGATGTGACCGTATATGCTTAGGATCAGCAATATCCGCCACCGTCAACTTTACAACCGGATTGTTCGTACCCGGCTTGGGGTATCTCACGCTTCTTATTTCCGGATAAGTCTAAAATAATTCATGTATTATTTCATATTCAGATCCTGTAATAAGGTTTATAATAGTAATGGAGGTGTAAAGAAGTAAGATTAAATAAATTAAAATTAAATAAATTTTGAGGTTTCTATTTGTAAAGTCAAATTAACAGCTCTTTGTTAACACATTTGTAATTAAGTTTATAAAATTATATGATAAATGGCTTCTTTTTGTTCTGGCTAATGTCACAACTGAAAGACCTTGACGGGAATTGCACTGATTGAAGTAATAGGATAAAATGATTTTTATTTGAAATAAAATATAAAAAAAACGATTTCTACAGCACATAGTGCAAATATAGATAAACAGTAAGATATATAAATAAATATTTTTATATCTAAGGATACACACTAAATTACATGCGAAAACAAATTTAAATATTATCAGACTTGAAACAAATATAATATGTATTACATAACCTTATTATTATGTATTATGGATATTTTTAATTTAATGATATTTCTAATTAATTTTTGACGAATTTTTCTACTGATATTATTATTTGGAATAGAATAACCAAAATCGATTATTAAAACATAAAATTTTTGTTAAAATAGCAGCCTCCTCTATCTCGAAATCATTTTTTTTATATCTCAACTTCTAAAGCGGTGTTTCAATTCAGTTTCCCAACTTTGTTTTAAAATTGATGATATGTTTGGCTGGACTTCTGACGTACTTTGATAAGTTTATTATGTTAAAACATTAAAGTTAGCCAACTTTACATCACTGAACGATTTGTTTTGTGGATCATTCAGCCGAAAACCAGGTACTAATATGCCTTAAACTTTCTTAAGACTTCAGGGTTATAACTTGACAAATTATAATATTATATAATTTGTATTAATATACAAAGATTGTCTCATATAGAACAACCATTATTAAAGATCAATTAAAACGAAGGCTCCTCTTCAAGTTTAATTAAAACGAGGAATACGAGGTATTAGTTAAGGCATGTGATTTTTTTTTATTTCTCTATGATTGACGTCAACCATAAATTTTTAATACTGTATTCTATATAAAAACATAAACGTACACAATTATCATATTATTCTACATAATAAAATAAATTGAATTAATGATAAATCGGATGATGTAACCCTTAACTTTCATTGTAGGGATACGCAAATTAATACAAACTAAAATAGATTTCATGAAAGAAGTAATAATTTGTTTCACAACTAATTTGAACTTTGATTTCTTTTTCATGCTTACAATTGTTGTAGTTATAATCCACATTACCTTGGCAGGATCATCAGTATCCAATGCAGCTCCATACCACGGGAATTTTTGTTCATGCACCAAGCTGTCATTAAAGGTGGCATATAATACCATGTGGCCATCCGCTGACATCCACAATGCGGATCGGGATTTGAGGATTTCAACTGCAAGAAATATAGTAAGTTAATTCAATGTAATTGTTAAAAATTAAGCTTTTCGGATTTTAAGACACTTTCATCTTGTCTGTCCGTCATCCCTGTTGGTGTTAAGGAACCCAAATGTCGGTATTATGTAGCTACAAATTAATAAATATGTGTATTATCCGAAAAGTTTCTGTACTTTCCCAAATATTTTAAATTGTATTATTATTTATAACGTATTTTTATTTCAGAAGCTATATAAAAAATAAAAAATTACTTTACGACTTCATAGAAACAATTATTCTTGAGGATAATGCAACTTTGAGAAGTCATATGTGCTTATATATGGAATTTCTTCCTATCCTATTCTATGATTGTATTCTATTGTGATTCGTTGACACTAGATTTTAATTCTTTGCAAGTTCATCAAACACAGCAGTCTATCATTTTGAAAACATGCTAATGATGACAAAGAAGCCAATAGTTTACTCATAATAAAAATAAATCAATTCATGTTTGGTTCAACTATTGGCCTATTAAGTATTATTACTAATTATTGAAACATGTTTCAAAAGATTGGGAACTTTTTTCTATATCCGGTGACATTAATGAAAACATTCATTAGAGATTTAACTTTTAAGAGTAATTAAAAATGGATGAAAAGATATTTTCTTAATAAATTAATGGAAAAATTGCTGAGTTTATATAATCTTAAAAACTTTCTTCTTGAACAAGTTAAAGACTTACTTACCAGACAGAACTTTTCGTGCTAAATATGATCAGTATAAAATAATTTAATATTTCTAAACTTTGTTATCTTGTTGAAATTAATTTTCACTTCTATTTTATGTGTTTTTCTGTTTTTTTTTTATGATTTCATATATTTTATAGTGGCGTTTTTAAAATCTTTCACATTTAATATTGTCAAGAAAAAACTTATATATTAAGATTCTTTTATATCGTAAAATTCTTATGAAAAATATTGATTATTATTATTATTCGCCCCATTCTCCGTTATTAAAAGGACAAATAGCAGTTTATAACTGCTATTGAATATAGAAATAGCATGAACATATTTATAAGCTCTAAACCTTCTAAAACCCTTAATATTAATTATTAGAAATGAACTAAACCACTAACTAGCATATAACCGGAAAAAATTATAACGCCAAAAAGACGAATTTAGGATGGGGATTTTATTCAATTAATACAAAAATAAAATATAATTATGTACAATTTTTGTAATATTCTTAACCTATAACATTATAACGAGAAAAATATTTTTTCATATCTAATAAAAATATATATTTTAAAATACTCCGATGACACCAAATCAGTCATGCATGTGTTTAACGCGTAATGTACCATGTTAATATAAAACATAAAGAGCCTTCTCATCTATTAATAAATGTGATTCAAGATTATTTTTTCACCATATACATATATTTTTCAATATAACCATGAAATTAATAAGGATTATTCAATAATTATCATGGAATGGGTTATCATTTTTATAGAAATAATTAAAAACAATACAGTTTTATAGGCTCATTTATTCAGGTTTCATTGATAGCAATGGCTCAATGAAAGGATTTAAGTGAAATTTTCAACAGATTTCAAGTAAAGTTACATTAATCACAAAAAAAGGAGCTTTACTCGGTTAATATGATGAAATTAAGCACCTAGCATAATATATACTATCCTATTTAGTATTTAGTTACTGCTATGAAAATTAATGGGCAAACGCTGATTAATTCAAAAGTTTATTGAGGGTTTGCAAAAAAAGTATAGGTTCGTCAAACACTTGAAGACAATAAATGCATTGCTCAAAAATACTTAAAAAAAACAAGGACTAGAAGGATGTCATTCGTAAAACACACTGGCCAAAACGCCAAGCCTTTGAGGAAGTAAAAAAAAGTCCATTAAAAACATGCAATATCAAACATCTATATCAATCTTAATAAAAAAGAACTACATTAGAAAAAAAGTAGGCACATATTCATAACAATGGAAAATCAACACGACGTTAAATCAACACTTCCGTGACGTTCTCAGCGCTTTACAAGTGGAACAAGATAAGTCTGTTTATAAAGTCTTGGCAATTTTGTAGCAACTTGATTTTAGAGACACCTTCGAAATGAAATAGAGTTCGCAAGTGCTATTAAAAATTAAAAAGTGCAAAAATCAAAACCATAATGATATCCCTATCAAGAGGTTGAGGCCCATTATACCAACCCTACCTTCCAATTCTTGAAGTATTAAACTTTTAATACCACCCTTGAAGGCTTTTGGTAAAATATTAACAAACGGGATGACTGTCCTGGAAGTTAATGATCGTGAATATGAAAACTATAATAGTGATAATTTTGTAATACAGTGTGATATCTCTGTCTCATTTATACACTTCCATAACTAATTTCATCAAAGAAATGGAGGACTTCTATGAAGATTGTTCTTGGATACTCGTACATCTCATATTCGTAACACCTGGAGTATAGCAATTAGTTTTTTTGCATTCTTTAGTGTTTTGGATAAAGTATTGTCAAGAATCATCATAAAGGAACCATGAGTTACAGAATGACACCTGTTTTTACTTATAGAGAATCAGAATGATCTGCAATACAAAATCAATAATTTCATCAAAGAATCACCGCTGAAATTACTATGAATCAATTGCTGGAAACCAAAGAAACACGTCTATATAACATAGCCTATCATCTTTCCTTACAATGTTGTGATAGTTTTCGTAACAACGAGCCTTTGTGACCTTATGCCAAGAAATAGAACAGTAAAATGATTTCAGGATTAATTAAAATAAAAAAGTCATCTCGTTTCTAAAGTTTTTTTTTAATTAAAGCACAGGCTTCTTATTAGATTTCCATGATAAGCGTTACAGATTTTTTTGTCATTTTCTTCTAGGAATGTTATTATTATTTTTTAAATTAACACATAAACTTCAAGTACTGTTGAGAACTTATTAAAAAAACTTAATTTATACACCATGTTAAGTAACAAAACAAATAATATGAAATGAATATTTCAACTCTATAAATATTTTAAAAATATTAAACTAATAAGCCATCCATTTTCTATTTATTAAAGCCTTCTATAAACATAGGTGGATTTTCGAGAGGATTGAATGCTAAATTGAAATTTTGAATGATTGATTGATGGATTTGTATAATCTTTTCTCAAGGGTAAACGAGGTTATAACAAAAATAAAGTATTTTAGTATTAACTTTTACATAATTGTTTAGTTTAAATTATAAATATTTCATAAATGCTTTTAAAAATAATATTTCTAAGGTTAAAATGGTATTTACATATGACCGACTAACAATTGAAACGAATTTGTATTAAATCATAAATATAACGAAATTGTAATGAAAAAATTTTGCGACCACAATTTATTGGCATTACTTTCAATATTATTAAAATTTAATTTTCAGAAATCCTCTTGTAATCTTCTTATTTTTAAGCGTATAAACATTATTATTACAAAAAATATATAAGGTAAGCAAGTCCCTTTACCAAAATATATAAAGGAATATTATGAACAGATTTACGTAGAATATTTTTAGTTAAGTCCTAATCTGATATTTATTATTATTATACAAGAACTGTATACAGTAAATTGTATATAAATGTGCCAGTATTAAAATACTGGCACATTTAGTTTAAAAATGCGACGAAAAATTTAACCTTAAGAATGTCTGCGAAATTTCACAAATTGATTTTAAAGGCAACTTAAAGTTACAAAAGTATTTGTAACAAATTGATTCTGTGTTTGTTTGAAATAAAGAAATAAATAAAATAAGATAGAAAAATATTTTTTTATACATATTTATACTTAATTTAAAACTATCGAATTTCGTATAGTAGATAATTAGAAATATATATAAAGCTTAGTATTGTTCTTTTAAAAAAAATATAACTGAATAAAAGAAAATAAAAGAACCTTCTTTTTTTTAAATATTTGGAACGTGAGTGTTAAAGAAGATATTCACTGGATGTAATATTACGACTAAATTATAATTAAATAAATGTTAGTGACCCATTTACTATTTGACCTACAGATGACTACAAAATACATATAACATGTATCGATACTCTACCGGTTTTATTTCATCATGATTCCCAAATTTTCCACTGTACAAGAAAAATATTTAAATAAATATGTATTATTATATCAGTTTTTAAAAAGGCCTTTTAATTACTCTTCATATGAAAATATTTATAATTTAATAAAATGTTCTTTTGTAAAGTGCCTTTATATAAAGTAATAATTAAAATTATCCGTGATAACATTTTGTAAACGTAATAAATATCAGATATGTGACAAATAAAACACCATGAATTTTTTGAAAAGCGTTTATATTAATTGTATTAGGTCAATGGGCCTAAATCTGTAAACAACGCCATTTATATTATTAGCATAGCAATATTTTTTATGGAATCTCTCCAGAGCTAAATATACGAAGGTCGCCTTTGTGTAAATGTTAATTCTTAATTTCGTATGCACAACTTGTTTGTTCTTTCGATCGATATTGTTGAGCTCTTCAGTTTCTAGCCAACATTTAAATCATATAAAACCTGATTAGAGTAAAGTCAACAACACTTCTATACCCGAAAGCCGCAGGTGCTCATTAAGATAAGTTTTGAATTATTTAGATTTTATTTTATAACAAACATAAATTTCAATTTAGTTTTCCCATTCAAGCCCAAAGCCTAACCATCAGAACTTATTGGAAAAAAATTTCAATAACCAAGTATTTATAAAAATAGGTAAAGGTATAGAATAATGTTCTTGTTATTACATAAAAACACTATATTTAGACATAAAAAAGGAAAAAGAAGTGGAACAATCCTAAATTTTATCCAGATAATCTTTTGATTAAGTACAGAAAAAAAAATAACTACGTGAATATCTTTTTGCTAATATCTTTCATATGAGAAACCCCAATAGAGATAGTGATCAAATGTCACAGCGTAATTTATTACGGTTTCACTGTACGAGATATTGGTGCTATTAAATGTATGGATCGCCAATAAATGTAGCTTACGATTTATTAATATTTATTCCTGAATCATAAGAAAAATTTCAACTAGATTTGGCAAGTAAATTTTGTTAATACATCTTCATTATAATGGGTGTATATTTGAAGACCATATTTAAAGAAATGTCAAGAGGACAAAAATTTTCCACCGCGTTGAGTGAAGTCTAATTTCTAATGATCTTTTTTTGTTATCATCCGTATATTTCGACAAGCTATGATTGTAGGACATATATTATAAAATTATATAAAAACTTTTGAAACCAAAAGAACACAATTTATGTAATATACAAATGTATAATATAGATTATAAGTAAAAGTAATTCCTACATTTACAGTAGCAATATTTTTGTTGGAAATATTTTCCAATAAAATGGACATAAAAATATACTATTTTGACGTACCTTCATACAACCAATCAGGAACACCGTTATTTATTCTTCCCGGTATACCGGTGTCAGTTACTCTATACCCAGTAGATGAGCGTGGTGCCGGGCGGTAATAAATATCATAATCCTTGACTGTGATGAGCCCATGGCCCTTCGGAGTCCACATCGCAAGTAAGAGGAGAGGTCCTTCGCTGATCACCCCCCCTCCTATGTCATCTGGGAGGGGGGTCAGTGGATAAGACTCGCTATGAATGTACAAAAGGATTATATAAATACATTTATTTTAAAACTTCATCATGGAGGCTACTCTGTATTGTGTTTTCGGTAGAAAGAAAAGTATTTATTTTAAATATAAAAACTCCTTTCATAACATAAAATATAATTCGTTAGTTACAGTCGGATATGAATTTAAGTGTGAACGTAAATATATTACTACATTAGTTTTATGGCTGCCTGATATAAGGTTTGTGAAGCTCGTTAAATATTAGCTTACTTTTGATTTAAAGAACGATGTGCGTTTATTTATTAAAACGGAACCTCACAAATGGAAAAAATATTAAACTTCTTAGACCTTACATTACAAGCAATCAATATAAGCAATACGACAAAAATATGTTAATTTAAAAATAATATATACAATACAGCTATGTGAAAATAAAATATATGTAATTATTAATAGTGTAAAATATAATTTAGAATAATTAGCGGGAATTAACAATGTTACAAAGTACTCTTTGGTATTTAGTATCAATTGAAGTTTTAGTTGCATTACTGAAATACTTGATTAAGAAGTACATTAAACTATTTGTTTAGAAAAAAGAAATAAAAAATAAGCAGAGCGTCTAATTAATTATAGACTTGAATATTAAGTAAAGTAATTTCTTGTATGAACTTAGAAGATTTTAAACAACTTTTAAGACAAAAACAGTTTTGAGTTGCAAACAATGTGCTATCCATTCTAACAAATTAATTAAATTACCGATAACTTAGTCACTTGACTCTCGGTGTTACGTGAGAAATATTTAAATGAGATTTAATATTAATAAACTTAATTAGGTCCAGTGTCAGAACTGTAACAGTAAGCTATAGATAAACCAGTTTTTTATGGATTCCCTGATATTATTTTTCATATATTACTCTTCAACTAGATCGTTAAAAAACAAAAATAAAAGAATATTAATCCAAATTTTTACCCTACAGTTCACCTGACAAGTGATAGTCTAAAAAATTAAAAAGATTAAAGTACATTTATCTCGTTATTAAAGGCTTAGTGATATTAATTAAGGAGGACGACACTTTCATTACCTGTATCCATTATACAGATTACACTCTCCAATAAACCGGTAGGGTTTATTGTCTGAAGGACGTCAATTAAATTGAACAAGCACAATGGGGAATTATTTTTTAAAAAGGCCTAGAATTAATTCTGTCCTTCTATTGAATATTTTTGTAAAAACATCGCATTAATATTTACATATTTTTTCAATTAATACATTACTATTTTTTAATTGATATTTAAGTATAACTTTGTTAATAAGTCGTGATCAAACTTTTCGTTCCCTAGACTAAACTTAGCAATTAAAAGATTACTATGTGTGTCTCTGTTGTTTCGTCATAAACCTTTATGACACAGGACTCAATTATTGACAGTTTTATTTAATTTTTTTCTTTTTGACTGTTCAAGTTTTGGTTCCTATGGTCGAGTAAATCTTAATACTTACGTCGTGAGAATATCATAGACCGAGTATCTTGCTAGGTATGAATATTGATGTAACTTGCGCGGTGCGTGAGCCAACAACAGGAATCTTCGGTCTGCTGACAGTGAATAAGACGCCGGTTCTAGAACACGCTAAAAAAGAAATTATAAATTAAATAAGTAACAAACAATAGTTTCATTAAAAATTTAATAATGCATAAAAAAAAAAGTTTTTATCCATCAGATTTTGCTTTTTGAAGAAAGTCTTCTTTTGTAGTTGGAAGTAAGTTTGATATGTGATTATTTGTTGCCACGATGTTATATTTAAAACAATATATTATTAAGCTTGACTACAGGAAAACAAATCATACCTAGACAATAAAAAAGGTTCACTAAAGTTGAATTATTTATAATATTACTAAATATTATGATGATCTAACATAAGAATAACATGATTTTAAACATATAATTCTAACTATTTTTAACACAGCACTCTCTGAAATAGTTCCATAATTAATATACACAATACCAAAACAAACAAAATTACAATCTGAACTTATAATCGCGGCATGACAATTTAATATTACAAACGGATAATCGATGGACCTTTCGTGTTGTGTCGGGCTCGCGTGTTCACAGTCACGCGTAATCTGTATAGCATTAAATTAAAATTGTAATAAGCAATTATTCCGTGAATATAAACAGTTTGATCCGATTTCACGAAACTGAAATCAAAATTGGATTTACATATACAATTATGAACAAATCTAATAAGTGATGATTGTCCTATTATATTGACCAATATATCAGGGGAGCATAACTCATAACACAAGGCAACTAACATTGTCCATTTCTAAACTATGGCAATTCATTCTTACTAGCAGACCACCGCAAGACATTTACAAATGACCATATTTTTCGGTATGTACTTACAAGAGAATTTTGTTTCCCATACCACTTGTACCTTTTGTCCTTACTTGTGTCATTAAGAAATAATTCATGTCAATTATTTCTAATGTTAATAAAAGAATGAAATGAAAATAAAAATAAAAAATGAAGACAACGGAAAAAATATTAACAAATGAGTTTTTATAATAAAATACAGACATTTGACAAAAAGCCATTGTAAGATAAGTTTCTTTTGTATAAATTTTCTCGTAAACGGATTTTTTTTCAATCTTCTTTTAGGCTTTTCTGTGTAATTCTTTAGAATTCTTTATAGACTTTGATAGGACTCTAACATTATTACAATTTTGCTTCGTCCTTTATAAACATCAGCATTTTCAATGCTTTGGAACATAAATCAATGGACATATTCGTAGCCCAAACGGTTTCTGAACCAAAAATGTTCAAATTGTCAAAGTTAAGCTAACGGACTACAGAAAAGACTTGTATTTTTGTAATCAAAGGGTTTCAAACAAACTGGAACATGTTGTTTTCATTTATTTTGGATGATGACTCAAAAACAAAGAAAAATAGGTGTTAGTGCAGACAGCACTTGAGTCTTTCATTACAATTAAAAAAAATAGTATATATGACATATTCATATCAAATATACAAGCATAGCCATTGACTAGTGAAGTATAGTCACTAACTTTAGCTTAGGATTAAATATAAGTAGAATTTGGAGTTAATTGAGAATAAACAAATTGATGTTTCTATATCGCTGAAGTGACACTAGGAGATTTTTTACATAAGATTCATAAAAGAAAAAACCTACAGACATAATTATAAATATACTTACTAAGATGACGTCATTCTTCCTAAATATAAACTTTTTTATGTACCTAATCCTTATATATAAAATTCGGTACTCACAAATGTACTGTTAGGCATTAAAGTCTTTGAGGTCTGGTTGGCAGCAAATAAAAGACTTATTCCACCCCACGCATCTCTATACACGAACTCGTCACCTGTTAAGAGAAATAAAAACTTAGGAGCGATGAAATAAAAACGACAAAATGGAGAATTTTATTTCCTATTCAAGACAGACACTCACAACTATATGTAAACAAACGTTTTTCGCACATAATGGTTGATATTACATCTTTATAGATCCGCGGATTATATTTTTTATCGTAAGTTATAAATTAAACATAACTAAAACTCAACGTGGAAATAATAAACTTTTTCTTATTAATTACTATCACTGAATTTAAAACTAAAAGCGGCAAATTCTTTCATTACTTTAAATTGATGAAAGTATTTCTATATTAAAAAGGTTCATTTAGTTCCGATAATTATAAATATCCACAGAAATACCAGTTAGTTATTTAGGTTACTGTTAAATCTAGACTTCTTAAGTGTGTCATTAACTCACTCACCTTTAATATGCGCTCATAATTAATAAATGTAAGAATGTCAGACGTATACACATTTATCATTCTCAAATATATGTCATAAACAAACAACTGTATATTAATTACAATGGTATAAATAAAATACTGTTAACCATTTGTAATAAATTACAATAATAAATAAAAGTATAATGTTATAAATTTATAAAGTTAAATTACGTGTAAATGCTAGTGAAAATATATTTTAATGATAACAGAAAAACACGGACAAATATTTATTTATATATTCTGTAAAAATTCTTAAATTACTTTTATGTTAATACACACATTTTCTCTTTAAAATATATCAATCAATCTATCAATTTAACATATATGACAAATATTTTCACAAGCTTCTGCATAATATTTGTTTATTACTTACTTAAGAGTAATTTTCAGAATAGAAATTTGTTTTATAAATGTGAGCAAATGATTTAGAAATGGGATATATTTAGTTGTATAAAGAATTTGTATGAATAGAAAGGACAGAAAAGAACAATTTTAAGGGACAGTTCAAGAGCAACCTTTATAGACACTTAAGACGTATTCAATAAATACTTATAATAATCTTTAATCTGTGATTATTTGAGTAAAATTTTGAATAATTACCTCCTATCCATATCATCTTATGCCATACTACAATCTTCAAATTTATAAATGCAAGTGAAACCGCAAAAATTTGAGAAAAAAAACTCTTTACCACGTATAAAATAATAAATAAACTAATAAATAGTTAGATAAAGCTGGCTTCGCTATTGGTTGAGTGAAGACTTTTGCTGAATACAAAGGAGAGTGATGAAAGAGGAGAATGGCGACTAAATTGACACAAACGTTATTGTCACGCTTATAGATATATTCGGTAGATATGTCTCAATTATATTATCAGTAGCTAAAAGATTTAGTAAAACTTGTTAATTTCGAAAGTTGTGCCAAAAAACTCTAAATGATGAGTTTTAGGAAGTTATAGATGGATATCAAAAGAAAAGCTTATATTAAAGGGTTTAAAGAGCATACTTATAAAATGCTGCTAAGTTCATCCTAAACCAATATAAGACGTTCTATATTTTATAATATAGAACATAAATGGCATCCCTTATGCAACAAAGAAGATGACAATTTACCAAAAATCATTGTACTATTATGATATTAGAAAACAACAAAGGACAGAAATTAAACCACAATCAATAAAAAAAATGTTAAACCAGGCCAAATAGAAACAACGAAACAAGAAAAACTGATTTTCCAACTTCAAAGCCAAAACCGGTGCTGTTATAATTTTGTAGTCAAAACAAACATTTCGGTATCCTGTGTCTTAAAAACAAAAGGTTAAAAAAGCTTTAGGTACATTACGATAGAAACTAAATGAGGACAATAAAAAAGACAGAGGAAGTCTTGTCACGGGTCGGAACATTTAATATGTGTCAGAAGTTACACATTGAATACTACCATTATTTTACTTAAACATTCGGTTTATATTTTCGAAATATCGATTGCGAAGAATGAGGCCTATTACATCAATACAAAAATTAATTTCTTATAATGACGTGATAAAATATTATTATAATACTATAGATGTAGCTTATATAAAACCTATTTTATATGCACTAGGTAATTTTCCCAAAAGATTTAACTCGCAAATAAAGGGAACCTTAAAAATAAGCTTTTACCATACTATACAGGAAGAGAAAAGAAGTAGTCTGTGGATTTTTTTTATAATAAAATAAAAGGTAGCTCCTTTCCAAATAAAAACAAGATATCCCTAGAAGGGACCCAGATTAACTGATAAAACGATCACCAAGTACTCAATGAACTACTCTTGTAAAGAAATCGATATCTGTAACAAACAAAGGCAATTCAAAGTAAACTAAGTTAAGTATTTTTTTTTAAGTTTCTGTGACAACAAACTAGAATAAACTATGTAAATAGTATAGTAACCTCCAGCTCCAGCTTTTTTAAAGTTTGGACAAGGTAACAAATTGCCTTCACATATTAAATAGTATTTTTATTGGAAACTCTAAACACATAAATAAAAAATAATTTATAGTGAGAATTGGCGGCGGCAAAGTAATCACGGATTACCAACGACGTTTGGCAATCAACAATAACCATCTTTTAGACTATTGTTTTTTTATATTTACAGTTAAAAGTCTGCGTTATTAAAATGTTTTCAGTGTCATGAACATCCGCCGCCGAATACATAAAAATGTACTGTACGCTCTCCTATCGAGTAATAAAAAATAAAATATTCGAATTCATTACGGAACGAGTCGAATATGAAAACAACTGTATGACTAATTAAATATGAACATTTGTTTTTATCGTTCATACTATTAGTTTAGTCGGTCAAATATGTCTACAAGGCCGTGGACTCGAGGAGATTATAAAAAAATAAACATAACCGTAGATCAGTTCAACAATAATTCAGTAGCTACTAAAACACTTATTGGAATATAGAAAAACCTGAATCTTAATAAGTATATGTAAAGCTATAAATTAATTTATGTACACAACGTAACAGTGTCCTAGATATTGAAGGGGATTTTTCATTCTTTTGGAATTGTAATTGTAATTGGAGAGAAGTATTTCTTGTAATAATACAAATTATACAATCATAGCTGTCACAAAAATTATAAAAAAGATGTTTAACAACACAAGAACAAATACTGTATTGTAACATCCAAAGCGAATGTAAAAGATTTTTTAAAGTAATCCAAAGAACTCGATGCTACAGTATATTCCTTCATTTAATATACTATATTTTTGATACATTGTGTTGTTTTAATTATGTTTTTTAGTTACGTTTTATATCGTTTAAAACAAAATCATTAAATGCTATTTAAATAGTGTTTTTCTTTTTTCAATAATTTAATCAGTCATAAAATCAGAACATATTTGTGACTTTTATAAACCACTTAAACAGTAGAATTCCTTTTATATAATATAATATCCTGATTCCCTACAAATTGTTGTATTTTTCGTATTACAATTCAATAAAATAGGTCAATAGGATCAACATTATTAGATCGGAAATAAGGACGCTTTATAATATTACAATAGTGATCGTAGAATATTGAAATTGTATTGTTGCATATTCTGTACTTATTAAATTGCTTGTCCATAAGAAATTATTGTAAAAAAAACACTTTATGATTATTTTTTAACAACATTTGTCATATAGTTTTTAATTTCAGATATATTGGATGTTTCCAGGCTACAAATGAAATAAGACAATGATTTCTAAAGTGTTTCATATACAATCATGTTCAAGTCTTTAAATACAACTAAATTTAGACTACAGTCGACCTACAATGATAAAAATGTGAGGATCAAAGAGATAACAGCATGGCCGGGTGCCAAGATTACATAAAGTCATCCACCTCCAAAAAAGTGTACTACTAATATACATTGTGTTCTCTTATTAAAGTGTGTTGTAACTTCTTTATGAAATATTGAATCAAAGAATCTTATTTGTTCCTTTCACTGAATATAATTTTCTCGATGCAATAGATAATATCTTAAAGTCGGTAAAATTTTGAGACTAAAAGCTTTAACATTTTACATATTGTATTCAAAAGAGAGGCACTGGACATAAAATTATAACTGTAAGGGCAGATGGCTATTCCAAAGGGTTGCTTTTAGTGGTTTACCTGGTACAGCGTCTAAGCTTGTTGCATATACAAAAAATAATAAACATAGTAAATATGAAGAGACAAATAAGTAATTTTGATATTTTTTTGAAATTTAGTATAGCTCATATAATTTTCAAAAATAAATCTATTAATTTAAATACTTTTATTAATATTGGGATAACATACAATCATATCTTTAACCAATTCACAAAATTCAATAACGGTATGAGAGAAAACAAGTTATTAACTAACAGAAAGTGTAAGAATATTGTATTTTAATTTTATCATTTACACAAGAAATTAATATTTCTTTAATTCGATATAAATTAGAGAGCGATATAATAGAAGCAAAGAAAGATTTAAGTAGCTTTAATTTTTTCATGATTTATCATTTCAGAAAATTGGAAAAAGTTGTTGTATCCGATCTCATAAAAGTTATAATTACATTCATATAAATAAAATAAAATAACAAAAAAGCACAAAAATATGTATTACAACCGATGTCCCCTGTTCGTTTAGCTACAGTTACATGATTTCCTCTATAAAATTATCACAAGCGTGACTAAAACGCAAATTTAGTTTAATGTAAATTTTGTTATAGGATGAAATTAGCATGAAGTGTCCCCGTTTCATAATATATCTTTATGATTGTAACAATTTCCTTTATTATATTTGTAACGTGGACCTCTATACGATACGAAATTGCTAATTCGAAGTATCTTTGTAATAAACATTATCCCTACAATTTTCACAATTATTTGGGGTTCTCACCAACCATAAAAGCATTAAAACATTATTATAGATCTCCTTTATTCTTCAATATTCATATAGTTAGTTATATTTAACTACTATATTGGTAATAAAAAACACAATTTTAATTATTATTTTACATACATATACAATAGAATCAATTTTTAATGTACATATAATAATTGAGTCAGATGCTAT